CTTCTAGGAGGAAACTTCAGTTATTCTGCCAGCTTTTACCATGCATCTAGTTTTGCACTTTGAACTTTCCAAGCTGCTTGGGACATCAGGAAACCTTTTTGTTTCCCTGATTGGATTAAGTGCTGCTTTGAAGGCACACGCCATGCCCGGGACAGGGCTCTGAGAGCAGCGGGTGCTCCAGAAGTCACTGGTTCGATTTGAAGACTTCGCTGGCAAGGAGGTCTACCTGTCAGGAGCTCCAAGCCCAGGAGGAAGTAGCCATCTTGGGCCCTGTGTAATTAGGCGTCAGGTGCATGGCAGAGGAGTTCAGCAGAGGACAGCCTACTGAGGGTGGGGCTGGAAGAACATACCTCACACAGGTGTGGACCAGAGCGGTCCAGCGGTGGAGCTGAGCCTGACCCACCCGGTGAACAGAGGCTCCTTCCCAGTCCTGGGGGACAGAAAGGGTGGGTGAGAACTGCGGGACTCGATCCCCCAGGTCTTTGCCAGCTCACGTTTTTGGAGATTATAATTAAAGTTAAATTAACAATGAGGCCAAAGAGGATCCAAACCCCACATAAAGGCTTTTGCCTTAAAAAGGGTTCTTTGAAAGACAATAACCCAAAAGTCCTCATACTGTTCTCTGTGGTTTGAAGACCTGCAAATCTTCAGAAAAATATAAAATCTCTACCACGTTACTAATGACTATAGATAGATGCTTGTCCCGTCTCTGCCACATCGGCCTCCATGGTTATGCTGACTACGTGAAGAATGTTAGCCAAAATAGTTTCTACCCCATGTAGAGGCAGAGGCAGGACTTCCGAGTTCCGTTATCCTTCAGTCGTCACTAGGGTTGGGGCAGCAGGAAAGCTGGAAGCCGGGGCCTCTCGCAGGTCCCTGCACAGCTCTCAGGCTTTCAAGTGTGCTAGAGACAAAGGCTGCGGAGCGGCCCGTGGCCGACCTGCCCAGACAGGCCCACTGGAGCTCCTGGGAGGGGCCACAGACGGCGCTTCTGCTAGGCAAGCTTCCCTTTTACGCAAACTAAGTGTAGTTTTTTTGGTTTTATTTTTTAATTTTGTAGTAGTGTATCTAGGTGAGTGCCTTTCTTGTATTGTCCCAGCTGTCACCTTTGCCACTAAGAACTTTGCGTTATAAGCCTCACTCTCATACCTTGCTATCTCCATAAGAAAGGACCACGGGCAGGCCAGGTTTCCTGAAAATTAACTTTCCTTTTGGAGATTGGTTTTTCAGCCTCTAGCCGGGCTGAGGCTTCCCTACCTGTTCTGTTTCCCTCATAAACTATTCAGTACCTGAGATGGCAAGTGGGCAGCGTTTGCCAAAGTGCGTTTTTATAGAGCTTCCCCTCCTAAGGCTTTCTCTCTGGCCTGCCTCTCAGGCCGAGGGCTGGCTTTTCAGCAGCTGGCCTGCTGCCATCAGTGAACTTCCCCGGCTCCTCTTCATCACCTGTTCCGACCTGAAAGATACCGGAACCGAGCCGATGAGCCCAGAGTGCTGTGTTCTCCCGTGAAGATGCAGCACGGGGACCGCTGCCGTTCTGATGCTGGCCTCCACGCTCAGCACCAGGAGCAACCACGGTTCTCCCAGGGTAGCACCAATTGCAAAGGCCGTGGTGATGCTGGGACACAACTGCGGCCCATGATGGGTTTGTGTGTGTCTGTCCGTCTGTCCCCGGCTCCCTTGAATCCTCCTCGGAATGAAGCAAGCGTAGAGATGGTAGCCGGCAGGCATTGCTTTGCTGTGTGCTCAGGTGGGAACATTCAAAGCCTGAAACCCACACCTGTTCTGGGAACACCACATGAGGGTTCCCAGCCCAACTGAATGAGCATGGGTTCCTTTTCTATCCTAAATGTTCCGTGTGTAGTCCCCAGCTTGCCCGACGGGTCGCAAGTTTGACTTTTTTTTTTTTTTTTAAGAATGAAAAGAATGGTGTTTCACTTTAATTTTGTTTTTTAGCCAAACTTGCCTCCAAACATTTCTTAATTCAAACTAGGGCAACAGTGGATAATCTCCATGGGTTTGTAGATACGAGGGCTTCATCCTGCTGTCTCTTTTTTTTCCCTTCCACCTCATATTTCATACTGGGGTCTTGTTCTTTTCTTTTCTGCCAAGAGGATAAAAAGACTACTGGAAAATCTAAATGTTACACAATGGAATTAAGTTGTGGGAGGACAGCAAGCAGGAACATTTATGTTTTATTCCCAGATTAAAGTTGATCGGGGTTGTTAGGTTTTATGGAGTTTTCGGAGGCGTTTCCCTCTTAGAACGTCATGTGATTTAGTGGTGATCATTAAGGAGGAATTTGTCTTCCCCCCAGATGCCAAGGTTACAGAGGGCCTTACTCTCGCCAGAGACCAGATGACAGCCGGGTATTTTTAGACCAGGCCCCCTTGTTTGCATGGCCTCTGATCTCAGACTCAGTTGTGGGGCAGGCAGTGGGGGAGGGGGTGGAAGCCACTCAGGAGACAGGGCAGCCTTGTCTTGCTCCCTGCTGATCGGTGCAGAGGGACAGCTGTTACTGCACCAACTACACGTGCGTTTCCTTCCAAAAGTTCTACTTCATCTGATGGGTTTGTTAGCCAGAAGGGTATCAACATAGACACGCAAACCTCACAGTTAACAGACACATCAGACTCTGAACAGTGTTCTGAGGATGACATGAGCGTCCTTAAAATCCATGAATCTTGTCCCCACGCTAAAGATCCCTGAGTTCCCAGCTCAGTGGCTGCTTCCACCACTTGATGTGCTCCCACTGCTTTCCCCGTCCCTGATTTGAGTGGGTGAACACGTGGAGACAGGTGAGGTGCTGCCCTCCCCAGCATCCTCTTACTGCCCAGGCCCTTCGTGGTGAACTGGTGACACGGGTGTTCCGCCCAGGAGGGTACCTGTGTTTCTGCCCAGGTGTGTAGCCGGTTCCTTGATGCTGTCACTGTTTCCCTTCCACCGCAGACCAAGCCAGTCGGCGTCCCGTTCCGGGGAGTGGGAGTTTCTGTATTCGTCAGTCCCTTGTGAGAGCTGCCCCTGGGCCCTGGCTGCTGCCAGCCCAACCCGTGGGCACTGAAGAGGTTTCCCTGGGAGGGCATCTCAGAGAGCTGTCAGCAGAAGCTCTGGGATGCCGTGTCACCCACGGCCCAGGCCCTGTTCTGCAGGAAGGGGGAGGGCGTTGATGAGTGCTGCTGCTGCGGCTTAATGATGATGTTCCCTGAGGATTCTGGGCCTTTCGGGGAGGGAATGGTATTTGGCCTGGGGATTGTTGTTGCTTCAGATTGTCCCAAGTGGGCCTCCTGCCCCTGACTTCAGGGCTGATGGCCTGCTCTGCCTCAAAGGATGCCATGTCAGTGGCCTGGGCTCTCTCCCTCCACCAATGTCAGCCCAGCCCCAGCATGAGAGCAGACTGCCCACCCAGCCTGTGTCACTGGGGAGTGAAGTTTCCACTTCCCATTAGGTGCTGAATAATTAACACCAGAGGGAACCAGGGGTGGGGTCTGGATTAGGTAATCCTTCACAGCCTCTCCCTGGGCACTTACAGCAGGTCAGGACTGGGACTTGGGACCGAAGTCCCCTGGTGGCTAATTGCATAGTGATGTTAGGTGTCGTTTATTAGGTGTTACTGGGAAAGAAAAAGCCAGATCCCTTCCAAAGGGCTGTGTCTGCGAGCCCCAGTCCATTCGTGTGTCAGGGTCCCAGGTAGAGTGGTTAGAATAGCACAGGTTTTAGCAAGCATTCACGGACACTGAGATGTGGAGTCACTTTAGCTTTTTCTGCCTCCACTTTGTCGTCCAAGATAATACTGTCTAGAAGAAAGGCCCGCCTTTGCCCGCTCTCTGCCTCCACTGCAGCAACAGCAAAGGTAAATGACTGTGACCGTGGGGCTGTGACGTCCTGAATTCTGAGTCCTGCTGCCTGTGCAACTGTTGATTGGCAGCAAGTACAGAGTCACAAGCGCTGGCACACTTGTGAAACTCCCAGATGAACGCACATTCTCTCCTGCAAAGGTGGGAGAAGCAGGTGCCCCTGTAACGCATTTGTGTGAGTGAGCTCACCGCTGCTTTCCGCGGTGCGTACTTTGGTGAGAAGATGACGAGGTTAAGGTGCCACTCTCTACCCATTTCTTGGCCCAGAGCCAGTTTTTCCTCTCCCATGGCAGCCAGCACTGTATCCGTAAACAAAGGTGTTCTGTCGTTAAGCTGCCCCTTTAACTCTACCTCTGTGTGCTATGCTTCTATGCCAAGAAATGCACCCTTCCTGGGCTCAGTGCTCCTGTGGAGACCAATAAGCCTTGTATAAATTCAGATGCTTCGTGCCTTTCCCTTGAAGGCTGTTGGAGAAAAAACAATATTGTTTGTTGTTAATGGGATGGGGGGCGGGGGGCACGGTTGTTTGGCTGTGTGCATTCTATACTTTTTTTTTCACTATACATTTTTAGTATACAAATCACGTTGCTGATGCCCGCTCAGACATGACTCGCTGCTCTTAGGTAGGGGAAGCTGTTTATGCACAGCCAGCAGTGCAGACGACGACTCTAGAAAGTGGCTACTTCCTGTCCGCTGCTTACTGGGGTATGGTGGACAGGGTGTTGAGCAAGTTCAGTGAGTCCACACGGCCAGCAGAGAAGTACACCACTGCTGTCCTTAGGGCACACAGCCGTCCTGGCCTGGGCATGCAAGTCCCACATCCAGGAAATGCCTCGGTCCTAAAGCTGGAACAAAACCCCTCCGCAGCCTGGACGCCCCTAGCGTGCCTTGCCTTTGCTGACCTTCTAAACCGAATGACGTCGTTTCTTCTGGGGCTTTTCAACTTCAGAGCATTTTGTAATAAGGACAAACTAAGAAACGGGGTGAGTGACCATCCTGCCGCACCCTCAGATTTTCAGACCTCTGTCATTGGCACAGCCAAAAGGCTTTGCAGCTTGTGCCCTGGGCCGGGAAGCTGGTGGGGCAGGGCCCACTCTGGCTTGTCTGCACGCATTAATGATCTCGGGTTCTCTCTCTTTCCACCTCCAGACCCTCAGACTGACACACGATCTACAGAGAGAACCCTTTGCCAACTCTGCTCTCAGCAAGTGGACAGTGGTACCGTTTACAGCTTAACACCTTTGTGACGCCCGCGCGTTTTCCTGACCCAGCAGAGACTGCTCCTGGCCCCGACCCTGGGCGCACCACTTGCCCTGGAACAAAACTCTACAGTATGCAAAGCCTTCCTCAGACGGGGGCCGAGCCACCTGCCATCGAGGACAGCGCCCGCCCGTCGGCACCGCCCATCTGCCCACCCTCCTTCTCAGCACACCCAGAGGCCCCGTTGGCGAGTCTCTGAACACCGCGATGGTTGATGGGACATTTTAAGTGTTGTTTTTGTGTTTGTGTTCCTTTGACTTTCCGAGTCTCTCACATGCATTCACGTGCAGTGTTTCTCCGTTGCAAATGGTAACCGTCCTCCCCCTGGCCAATTTAAAAGCAGAAGGAAAATGTTGCACCAGTTACCGTTGCGGCTTTGGGCGCCACACGCTTTTGAGGCCACGGAACTCCATAAACTAGCACATTACATAAACCAGAGGGGGATTTTCTTTCTTCTTTTGTTGGGTAGAAAATTATCCTTTTCTAAAAACTGAACAATGGCACAATTGTTGGCTATGTGCGCCTGTCCAGGACTGAGCCGAGTGCAGGCGGGACACGCGGAGCACAGCGCCCTACCCAGTGAGTCTGCAGGTCTGAGTCAGGCTGGTCCGAGGACCAGACCCCAGCACCTGGCCTGCAGTGCCGGAGCAGTGGGGTGTCTGAGCCAGTGCAGTGAACAGCGTGGGTCTGTCAGTGAGGCACTAGCATCTTTTTCTTCAGGAAAGAAATCAGCTCAGCTATCCACTCATTGCCAAATGCCACTAAAGGGTTTAGTTTTAAGGAAAAAAGAAAAAGGGAAAAAAAAAAAAAAAGGTGTCCTGTGTTGCTTTGCAGAAGGGATGAGCTTACAGGGGAGCGTTAGGCTTGCAGTGAGAGATGCGTGAAGAGTACAAACCGAGTCCCTGCTAAGGCAGCTCTGACTTCCCTGTTCCTAGCTCCGTGTCCTTGGTGATTTTCAGCCTTGCTGTGTATGGTCTGATCTGCCAGCAGTGTATGAGTGAGAAGCAATAGCATACAAACTTCATATATATATATGTGTGTGTGTGTGTGTGTGTGTGTACATATATACATATATATATATAAAGCTTAGGTTGGAATACTACAAGTGACACAATGGAAGTACAAGATAAGGCAGTTTTAACTTTTTTTTTAACCTTCCTGCTTCTGTGGATTTCATTTATTTTCTTTTCAAAAAGTTATGGTGCTGTATAGGTGCTTTCTGTTAAACTTGGAAAGTGTGATCCTATTCGTTGCCCTCTTTGGTAGACAGAGTGGTTGGGCACACCTGCGGTACCTGGGAAGCTGGTGCAACAGCGCTCTGATTAGCACAGCGTAGGCATACTCCTCCAAAGCGATACAAAGACTCTTGGCACAGAAAGCATTAGGCATAGAAATGTATAGATATATTTTACCGTGTACAGTACAAAAACAGGCGCTAGGAACACAGGCTGGTTCTTTGAGCACAGACTCCCCTGCCTGAGGTCCCTCTGATGCTTGCAGTGTGGCCATGGACACCAACACAGCCGTGCCACCCTACTCCCTGCACCCGCCGCTGGCCGCCCGTGGCCCCCTGTGCACCTTCGCTTTATAACTCCCCTGGGGTGCTGTTGGTGGTGATCACAGCTCCTAGCACAATGAGCGTTCCATCTGGTGTTGTCACACGTCTCTTCCGCCTCACTTTGGATCCTCGTGTTTGAGCGATGGCCCTGTTGATTTTGCCCTGCCTTTTACCCACTCTGTAAATCGTCACACAGTTGTGGTTATCGTAGACCTGTAGCATATCAGCCTTTGTTAAACCGCTACATGTTTATAATCTTCATTTTAAAAGTATGTATAATTTCTAAAAATAAGTATTCCATTCCCATGTTCTGCTTGTCGGAGAGCCAGACCTGCTTACTGTATTGCTTTGTAACGATGCCAGCCGCTTGCTTGATTTTTCAGTAGTCTGCCATAGGCAAGAACTGTTAGGTGTCGCCTCGAGGGCTGCCTCCTCAGCTCCCCAAGTGCTGCCACTCTGGGCGGGACACAGTGCAAAGGCAGTGGCAGCAGCTGGGGACAGCGGTGGCAAGATACCAATCCAGGGGAATCCCAGTGCTTCCAGCCGAGGGCCGTCAGTACCAAGAAGAGACAAGCCAGTGAACCAGGGAAATAGCTCCATACCCTTGCCGTTTTGTTTTGCACCTGGCTGTTGCGTGGGGAGTGAGAGAGGCAGCCCTTCGGTGTGATTCAGGTTTAAGATGCTGCATTCCTTGCAGACCCGGGGCATCTCAAATGAATATTCTCTTCTTGGCCGTGTGTGTCGGGTTTCAGGCAGAACATCTTACAGAATGTCCCAGGACCAGACCACAGTTTCATCTGAAATAGGGGAGGGAGGGGCAGTGGGGTATGAGGACAGGGCAGCCACAGAACAGGTCAGGAAAATGGAGGGGGAATGCTTTGATTTTTGCTTGGTTGTTTGTTTCCTTTTTTAAATAACTCAGCTAGCATCTACGCAGAGAGTGTTGTGAAGAGCTGAAACTGAGACCGATCAAGGGCAGCATCAGCACTGTGAGCTCCAGCAGCCCCAGGAAAGGCTGGAATAAATCGTGCAGTGTCTCCAGGATCACACGGCATCCCCCCGCTCAGCTGGCCTCCCACACACACACAGAGGCCAGGCGCCCCTTCACTAGCCTGGGTCTGAGGCAGCCAAGCCTGGGCGCAGGTGTGACCTGAGCCCCTCCGGCCTTTGTAACAAGACCATGCTTTCAGCAAGGGCCAACTGGTTGCTGGCCACCATGTCACTCTCCAAATGTCATGGATCCCTAACGATGAGCTTTCTGATCGGGATCGTCTCAGCGGGGCCTGGCGGCGGGAGTGTCGGGAACTACCCAGGGCTACCCTGAACCTCTCCGTCAGCTGCTCCGGGGAACTGCCTGCTTGGTGGCGAGAAGTTAGAAGAGGACCTGCTGCTGGAGCTGTGACAGGCGCTCTGGGGCTCTGCGACTCTCCCGAGGGCTCCGGAACCTGACACCTTGTACCAAAGCTAGAGAAGAGCTCCGTCTCAAGCCTGCCCTGCCCTGGCGTGAGAACTGAGCGCCAGGCTCCCCACGCCCTGACAACTGGGAGTGAATCTGAAGCCAGCAGTGGAATGACGGGTGAAACGAACCTTCACGAGTCTGTCTGTCCCCTGAACGGGAGGGTCACGCGCACTTGCAGGGCAGGGCAGGCGTGGTGCTGGTTTCCAGTGTTGGTTTTTAGCACCGTGTGTGTGGCTTCCCCATTCTCAGGAGAAGACAGTGTGGCTCAGGACTCAGGACAGCTATGCCCTGTCTCAGGTGTGATTTCAGGTGGCTTTCAGACTTGCACACAGCTTAAGCAAGGAAGGAACAGACTTTGCCTCTGCCTGATGGTGAACGCAACCTAAGGAAAGAGGGACGTTTGACTCTTCGCAGAAAGACCGCCGAGGGCGAAGCTGTCTGCTCCACGTACTGCGCCAAGGACTGGACTGACGAGGGGAAGTAAACCATGGCCCTTTCTCCGTAAAGACGGAAAGAACCCCCTGACAGCTCAGAGCTCGGACTTTCTTTTGCTTGGTGTATTTGGGGAACACTGTACAATTAGGTTTAATGGGTTTTTGGTTTTTTTTTTTTTTTTTCTTCCAGCAAATTTTTTGTAGAAATGCAATCACTGGTTAAGAGGTACGAAAAAACCAGCCTCTCCCCGGCGATTCAGGGGAGTCAGGGTACAATGAGGGGAAAGTGAAGTTCCCATGGGATCAAGTCTGTCCCACAAGATCCTAAAGCAGTCGCGCAAGTAACTGAAAAGAGCATATTGATGTGAATCTCAAGTGGGTAACACTTTATGCAGGTTGAATGAGTGGAGTATTTTCCTCTAGTTTAGCCTTACTTGTATGTATTTTTCTTTTGATGAATGATTGGTTACGAGGCCTCTGCCACACTCCAGAAATGCTCACGCAGCTGCTTTTAAAAACTGTGTGTCTGGTCGCTTAACGTCTCTCAAATTATACCATTGCCTGGCAATCAGTCTTCTCTCGTATACTTGTCCTAACACATTATGTACACGAGAAATGTGAACAGCTGTGAAGGTGGACCAGAAAAATTAGTTCTTATTAAAAAAAATGTATTGTGCATTTTGGCTTCACATGTTTAACTTTTTTTTAAGAAAAAAAAGTTGCATGAATGAAAAAAAAATTCTGTATACAGTATCTGTAAAACTGTCTTATCTGTTTCAATTTCTTGCTCATACCCCTTACAAATTAGAAGTAAATATGGTGCATGGCCATATCCCAGCACACACCAGTCAAGCAGCCCGTAGTTTGGTTTGAAGCACCTCCTCCTTTCTTTCACGGGGAACACTATCACACTGCATTCTCACTGAGGATTCTGTCTAACCATCTGTTGCCACAAGTTAACTCCACCGCCTTTCTCCTCAAAGATCAAAACCAGTTTGATTTGGGAATCTCCCCCTTTCCAGATGAATTAGCGACGCAGTACTTACTTTCCTTGGTGTTTGTAGATAATGCCTTGTGTATTCCATTTAAAACCGTAATCTAGTTTGTAAAAGAGATGGTGACGCATGTAAATAAAGCATCAATGACACTCTATCTTACTCCTGAAAGTCTCCTTGTTCTCCCTCGCCTCATCTGTACCGCTGAGTTTATCTCAAGGTCTTCCTGTGGGATTTCTTCGCAGGCCGGGAGAGGCATGAAGCTGAGAGGCTGGTCACAAGATGGGTCAGCTCAATGAACCTTGCAAACTTGGCCCTGGCCCATCTTTCACCTTGATAGATCTATGGCCACTTAGGGTCTTTGGTGTACGTGGAATCACGTTGTCCTGGAGGCAGGACTCGGGCTCTGTCTCCGATAAGTGTCAGAGGCTTTAACCTGCCAGTGGTTGGACCCTAAGGAGGTCCTGGGGCGAGTCTGTCCCAGTGGCCATGCCTCCCCGTCAGGCCAGGGGAGCTCCACCCTGTTGTAAAACTATTTTTAGCCTAGGTGGTGGTTTTCGTTTTAATAGGCATAATATAAATATTATTCAGCTTATAGAACACTGCCCCCCCCCCAACCCCGCCCTGCCTCAGGATGTGGCTTAAAGAGCCCAGGCCACATGATGGGCCCTCATTTCAGATCAGGGAGGCAGGGAAGGCTTTCAGATTGGTCCTTTGGGAGAGCCATGTTGTCACTTCCTCTGCCATTGTTTCAACTCCTTGGGAAGCACAGATCTCACCGTCTTCTAATGCCAAAGCCACCTGGGAAATGGTATTTCACTTGAGATTGCTTCTCAGTTTTGTCTCCCAAAAAGAAATGTTACCCCTGTTACCACAAGACTCTCAGTAGAGGATTCTGCAAAAGCAGGTAAAAGTTCATCCAAGAGCAAGGTCAAGTTAACTGGGTGATTGACAGTGATGAGAACGTCTAGTGGGCAGACCTGTGGTGGGCACCAGGAGAGCTAGGACCTGGACCCTGCCCTCCATAAACCTGTGCTTTGTGTATAACCTACCCTCTCCACCTGGAGAAAGAGCCAGTTCTTACTGGCTGCCCTTCAACCTCTTGTTTGAAAAGAGGGAGGATTTGTACTCATCCCTAAAACTCTTGAGGGATTTGATTTTGCAAATGGTCTAGTAGTGAGGACAAAACTTTCAGCCAGCTAAGTCACCCGTGCCACGGCTGGAAGAGGTGGAATTCACGCCACTGGTCCCCTGAGTCATGGAAAAGCATGGAGGGACTGTGGGGTAGGGGTGGGCAGCGATCATCTGCATCCTGGATATGCCTCAGCTCAGCCTTGTGGGGTGGGGGTCAAGAGGGCAGCATATGGAACACGGCCCATTGGAGCCAGCATTGTGGCGTAGCCGGTAAAGCTGCCACCTACAGTGCCGGCATCTCATATGGACACTTATTCGTGTCCCAGCCGCTCCACTTCTGGCCCAGCTTCCTGCTAATGCACCTGGAAAAAGCAGCAGAGGATGACCCAAGTGCCTGGGCCCCTGCACCCATGTGGAAGATCTGGCTGATGCTTGTGGTTTGGCTTGGCCCAGCCCAGGCTGTTGCAAGCATGTGGGGAGTGAACCAGCGAATGGAAGATGTCCGTCTCTCTCTAACTCTAACTTTCAAATAAATAAGTAAATATTTTTAAGGCAAAGGGCCCTCTAGCTCTGCCTCCATCTCTATCCAAGAGAGCAGCCAGGCACAGAGGAGCACACACATTTGGAGCTGGAGGAAGAAAAATCTTTCCCGTGGATTTTATTCATTTGAAAGCTGAAGATGGTCAGCAGGGCCGGCGCCGCGGCTCACTAGGCTAATCCTCCGCCTAGCGGCGCCGGCACACCGGGTTCTAGTCCCGGTCGGGGCGCCGGATTCTGTCCCGGTTGCCCCTCTTCCAGGCCAGCCCTCTGCTGTGGCCAGGGAGTGCAGTGGAGGATGGCCCAGGTGCTTGGGCCCTGCACCCCATGGGAGACCAGGAAAAGCACCTGGCTCCTGGCTCCTGCCATCGGATCAGCACGGTGCGCCAGCTGCAGCGCGCCGGCCGCAGCGGCCATTGGAGGGTGAACCAACGGCAAAGGAAGACCTTTCTCTCTGTCTCTCTCTCTCACTGTCCACTCTGCCTGTCCAAAAAAAAAAAAAAAAGATTGTCAGCAACGTTTAAGTCCTGAAGAAAAGTAGATTGGATGGGTCAGCCCAAAATCCATCACCTAGTAATGGCTCGGGACTGTTTTTGTCGTCCTCTGAGAATTTGCTAGTACTTCTCACTCCCACTTGGGGAAGAGAACGCTCAATGCCCTTCTTGTATTGGCACAGGTCTCCTCTGTGACTCCTGCATTCTTTCACCCACGTGCCAGCGCTGTGCTTGCCCCAGTGCGATGGCTAAAAGGACAGAGCTGAGATCTCCAGGCCTGCTGGCATGCAGTCTGGAGCGAAGGAATCCCACACATCCTGCTGAGGGTAGGATGGAGGGGCTTTGAACAGGAAAGCCAAAATGGGTCAGGCTTTCCAGCTGAAGTGATGAATCTTAAAAGCAGGAGACAAACAGTTGGAACAGGAAACGGGGGAAACTGGGCTTGTTCAGGACTTGAAGACAGCTGAGAAGCCAGGCTGAGAAAAGTAGGCTGCCTGGGCCAGCATGGTGGCTCAGCAGGTTAAGCTGCCACTTACAAGGCCAGCATCCCATATCAGAGTGCCCACTAGTCCTGGCTGTTCCACGTCCCATCCAGTTCCCAAATGCACCTAAGAAAGCAACAGAAGAAGTGCTTGGGCCCCTGCCACCCTCCTGGGAGACCCCAGATGGAGTTCCAGGCTCCTGGCTTCAGCCTGGACCAGCCCAAACATTGCAGCCATTTAGGGACTTGAACCAGTGAATGGAAGGTCTCCCTCCCTCCCTCCCTCTGTCTTTCCATTCAATCAATCAATCATAATAAAATATGCCACTGGAAAATTTGACATAGGAGCCAGGAGTGTTTGGTAGGAAAGCAGAACCCAGCAGGCCGGTGACCAGTTGGCTTTAGTAGACTGTGAGAGGCAGATTCTAGAAGAAGAATTTGAAAAAATGAACAGCCCCAGTAATCAAGAACTGTTTCCACAGCACGGCACCCACAGGAAATGATGTTGCTGTCGCCCATGGGCAAGGGAGAGAAGACCACTCTAGGCTGTCTCGGGCTGAGCCATCGGTGCCTTGCTCTCTTGTAGCTCCTCCACCAAGCTGAGAAGCCGCGGTGGAGAAGAACTCGCAAGAATCTTGGAAAAAATTCTAAGGGAAGGAGACCCTTGGCTTTGAGCTCTACCTTGTGTACTATTTCAACTCATCAGAATAGGGTGCTGCCTTCATAAAGACAAATACCTCTTCCGAAGAGTGGAGCTGGATTCGCTCTGACTGCTCTTCTGAGACTGGAGAGAAGAGGGAATGAGGTGAGAGGAGGGTGTTGAGGCCTGGAAGTGGAGACAATGAGATAGCTACACGGTTGAAAAGGAATTCGCTGATAGATTAATAGGACCATGGCAAATTTCTCTTCATAACTGAGTTTCCTTAACGGCTTCTTATTAATGTCTTGACTATTATATCATAGGAAGTACCTAATCAGAACAAAAGAATTACACATCTATTAAAACAATAATTATGCAAACTATTCATATATGAGGACATAGGAAATGCCATATCGGATGCACTCTTAGAAAATGTAATTATCTGTTGTTCTTGTAACCTTATATCTTGATATAATAAAAATAAGAGACGTGGCCGGTGTTGTGACATAGCGGGTAAGGCCGCTGCCTGCCGTGCCGGCATCCCACATGGGTGTCGGTTTGAGTCTTGGCTGCTCTACTTCCGATCCAGCCATCTGCAATGGCCTGGGTAAACAGCAAAAGATGGCCCAAGTCTTTGGGCCTCTGCACCTACATGGGAGACCCGGAGGAAGCTCCTGGCTCCTAGCTTCAGATTGGCCCAGCTCTAGCTGTTATGGCTATTTGAGGAATGAAACAACGGATGGAAGACTCTCTCTCTCTCTCTCTCTCTGCCTCTGCCTCTCTGTAACTCTGCCTTTCAAATAAATAAATAAATCTTTAAAAATAAAAATAAAAGGCAGGGGCTGGCAGTGTGGCAAAGCGGGTAAAGCCACCACCTGTGACACCGGCATCCCATATGGGAGCCTGTTCCTGTCCCGGCTGCTCCACTTCCGATCCAGCTTCCTGCTAATGCACTTGGAAAAAGCATCAGAAGATAGCACAAGCGTTTGTGCCAATGTCACCCACATGGGAGACCTGGACCAAGCTCCTGGCTCCTCGCATCAGCCTAGCTCACCCCTGGCCATTGCAGCCATCTAGGGAGTGAACCAGTGAATGGGAGAACTCTCCATCTCTCCTTCTGTATCTCTGTAACTCTAACAAGTCTTTTAAAAAAAACAGAAATAAATAAGCATAATACAAGTGCTATATACCAGTGTAAAGCTGTGGCTAGGGAGAAACACTGGAAGGGAAAATGTAGAAATAAACCTGTTTATTTTGGCCTCACCATTGGACTTGGGCCCTTGCTGTTGCCTAAAAAGGCGAGCACATCCGAGCCCCTGTTGCCTGAGCCCCACTGGCAGCAGTGTCTTCAGTAGGGGGAGGGGCTCTTTTTCCAAGGGACACCTGTGGCAACACCCCCAAATGGGGCAGCACTCTTGCTGGACATGACCCCCAAAGGACATGTCCCTGGGATTGAAGCAGCTGGCCTGTGGACTCTCTCTTGTCAGAATTAGCCTCACTTTATCATACTACATTTTTTTTACAGGCAGAGTGGACAGTGAGAGAGAGAGACAGAGAGAAAGGTCTTCCTTTGCCGTTGCTTCACCCTCCAATGGCCGCTGAGGCAGGCACGCTGCGGCCGGTGCACCGAAGCCAGGAGCCAGGTACTTATCCTGGTCTCCCATGGGGTGCAGGGCCCAAGTACTTGAGCCATTCTCCACTGCACTCCCGGGCCACAGCAGAGAGCTGGCCTGGAAGAGGGGCAACTGGGACAGAATCCGGCACCCCGACCGGGACTAGAACCCGGGGTACCGGCGCTGCTAGGCGGAGGATTAGACTATTGAGCCGCGGTGCCGGCCCATTCTACATTTTAAAACTAGCTTTTGAAAGAG